CTTTCTCTCTCTGTCTCTCTCTCTCACTGTCCACTCTGCCTGTCAAAAAAAAAAAAAAAAAAAAAAAGAAAATTGGGATTTTGAATGTAGTAACATCTAAACAACATCCCTTGCTGTTCAACCTGGGCTAAAAATCAACAGTGTTTCTAGGAGCTTATAGATAGACAAATATTGACCCTTGCTATGTCTATTCAACTAGAATCTACTTGGGAGTCACCCTAGGTGATTCATATGGATATTATATTATTTGATAATAGTTAAGGAAAAAATTTCTCTTATCACCAATTGAAGTTATTTGGGCTCCAAATCAATTATAATATTTAAACCTCAAATTAAGATATATAACTGGTGAGAATTCCCTCCTACTTCCAGTCAGAAAGACCAGTGTTATTCATTTTGCTTTCAAATTTAACTACAAGGTGTCTGATGAGACATTGTTAAGTATAACTACACAATATGGTTATATATGGCCAAAGCATCCTCACAAAGAAAAAAAGTTATCAACAACCTGTGAAGTATTTCAGAAGCCAGCTCTACTTAAAAGCTCTTTGAGGGGCCTGGGCTGTGGCATGGTGGGTGGGGCTGCCACCTGCAGGGCCAGCATCCCATATGGGCACCGGTTTGAGATCTGGCTACTCCACTTCCAATCCAGCTATATGCTATGGCCTGGGAAAGCAGTAGAAGATGGCCCAAGTCCTTGGGCCTTTGCACCACATGGGAAGACACAGAGGAGGCTCCTGGCTCCTGGCTTCGGTTTGGCACAGCTCTGGCCACTGCAGTCAATTGGGGAGTGAACCATCAGATGGAAGACCTCTCTCTCTCTCTCTCTCTCTCTCTCTCTCTCTCTGCCTCTCCTTCTCTCTCTGTGTAACTCTGACTTTCAAATAAAATAAATCTTAAAAAAAAAAGCTCTTTGAAAGGGTTTTTAGGCAGAGTAAGAAGCAGAAGGAATCTGTCTTCCCAGTTAGAAAACTATTTCACTGGCAGAATCTATTAGAAATATTCTGAAACTCTGGATTTTCCTGAAGGCTTGCAACCTTCAGGGAAAGTTTTGCCAGGTACACTGTGGTGTAACGTCAATTCCAGTTCTCATTATAGCAGAATATTCCCATTCCCTATCCTTCAGCCCCATCACAGATAGGCACGCACATGTTCCTGAAGTAGTTTGTAGTTTGCAGAAGTCAAGGTGAGCAAAAAGGACTTTTTCCTCTAAATGTTGAGATCTATTAACTGATCCTTATTTGCTACTTCTGACTTCAGGGCCACAAAGAGTTCGTTGGCTGCTATTTCCACCTCTCTACATTATTCAAGCATCCAGACCCCTTCTGGCTGAAGTGATTTTCAGCAGGCATACAGGGTAGAACCATTCTCTACCTTCATTGTTGTGCTTTTTCTCCTTTTGAGAGCCAGACATTAAAAACTAGGACATTCAAAAATAATTTCAGATACTGAAAATTAGTATATGATTCTTAATACCTGGGGAAAAGCACAGGCTCAGAAAAGACCTCAAAGAAAACTTAAGTTTATGCTTTGGACTTATCCTTGGCACAGAAATAGGCTACAACAGCAACAACAACAAATTCAATGAACAAAAAACAATAAAAAAGAGAGAAAACCCCAGAGATATGGGGGGGATGTTGTTTAGATGTTACTACATTCAAAATCCCAATTTTCATTAAAAGGATCAAAAGACATACAAAGGAGCAGTACATATTGGTCCATTCTAAGGAGAAAAATACGTCAACAGAAACTCTTTCTGAAGCAAATCTAATGGTAGACGTACTAGACAGAAAGTTTAAAAGAACTGCCTTTAAGTTGCTCTAAAGGCGAAAGGGATATGTGGAAAAAATAAAGATGATATGTGGACAAAATGGAAATGTTAATAAAAAGAATATATTAAAAACATGGAGATAAACCAACAATAACTGATATGAAAAATTCTTTAGAGGAATTCAAAGTCAATTTTGAGAAGGCAGAAGAAAGAATCTTAAAGAAACTTAAAGATAGGATGGCCATTACTGAGTTTGGTGAACAAAAAGTAGAAGATTGCAAAGAAATAATCAGAATCTAAAGGACTTACGACACACCCTCATGCAGATCAACTATATTTTGTAGGAGTCCTAGAAGTGGATGAGAGGAGAGTGGAAGAGAGGTAAATGGAATGGTTGTAAAAATTATAACTGAAACCTTCTCAAATTTAATGAAATCCATTAACATAATCTTCCAAGAAGTTCAACAAATTCTAGTAAGATGAATTCAAAGAGATCCACCTCACAAAGCATAATCAGACTTTGAAAAGCAAAAGATAAATACAGAGGCGCATGGAAGCAGCAAGAGAGGAGTGATTTGAGCCATACACAGGATACCCAATAAAATTATCCCTGTATTTCTTGTCAGAAACTTTGGGGACCAGAAGATAGTGGGCCGATATATTCAAAGTAAGAAAAAAAACTCTGTTTATCAAGAGCTTCATATAAAGCAAAAATGTCCTTCATATAAAGCAAAAATGTCCTTCAAAATGAGCAAAAATTAAAGCATTCCCAGGAAAAGAAAAGCTGAGGAAGCAAGTTTGTTGCCACTAGACATGCCTGGTAAGAAATATTTAAAA